CTGTAGAACTCTAAGAATGCTATTCAGAACTCTTATCAGATTGGCTAGAGCTAATAAAAATTTTTTTACCCCAAAGTTAATTTTTGAAAGTTAAAAATAGCGTTAGCTTGAAAAATAATTATTTTAGAAAAAAAAGTCATAAGACTTTTTTGTAGAATTTTGGGAACGCTACTCAGAACTATTATCAGATCGGCTAGAACTAGTAAAAAAATTCTTTTTTACTTAAAAGTTGACTTTCGGAAGTTAAAAATAGCGTTAGCTTGAAAAATAATTACTTTACAGGAAAAAGTCATAAGACTTTTCTGTAGAACTCTGGGAACACTACTCGGAACTCTTATCAGATCGGCTAGAACTTATAAAAAAATTTTTTTCTTAAAAGTTGACTTTTGAAAGTTAAAAATAGCGTTCACTTGAAAAACAATTGTTTTAGAGAAAAAAGTCATAAGACTGTTCTGTAGAATTCTTGGAACGCTACTCAGAACTCTTATCAAATTGGTTAGAACTAATAAAAAAAAGTTTTTTAACGTAAAAGTTAACTTTTACATGTTAAAAATAACGTTAACTTGATAAAAATAATTATTTTTAGGAAAAAAGAGATTAAAATATCTTACAAGTCACATAAAAATGTCGCAAAAATACAATCTGGAATTAGAGCACAGAATTCGTAGAAGCCAAATAAAAAGCGATAATTATAGCTCAAAAATGACATTTTTTGAAAATTAAAAAAAATTTTTTTTTTAATTTCAAACAAAACTTATTAGTGCCCTGAACACTTCTGATAAATTTTATTAGAATCGTATGAGCTATTTAGAAATTATTTAAAAATAGCAAAGTTACTTTATAACCACCCTGTATATATTCTATTGTAGTTGCGTTTGTCAAAATTGAGATATTATCAAAATCGGAGACATCGTCAGGGAATTTGTTTGTAACGATGCAGCATGCATGCGCTGTAACACTAGCGTCTCGCATGCACACGTTTGCGCCGACGTATCACCACACACATTCGCATTATACATTCTCGCGCTGCACGCTCACATTTATATACTGTATTCATACGAATTGTTACGTCAGAACCTGGAGGGAAAGGGGCGGAGTCAGGTATACGGACGGATGCAACAATAAAAGTATGAATTTGTGGTGTTTGCTCGCTGGTCGGTATAAGAGGAGGCGACCGCGCGAGCCGAACGATTTCCCTTGGCTGAGAACAGGTCAACGATCGTAAGGATCGATATTACGCTGTTAGAGGCCTCAACCAATCGTTTGTGGTCCCCTTTTCTGGTCAAGAGAATTAACTCTTTTTATGAAGGGCGGAACCTCGTGCAATTTTCAAAAGGAGAGGTGTTAGAGAGAGAGAGAGAGAGAGAGAGAGAGAGAGAGAGAGAGAGAGAGAGAGAGAGAGAGAGAGAGAGAGTAGAGTA